GGAGGTTCCCCAGCTCTAACTGTGCCTGTCTCGTGTTGCAGCAGCCAGCAGAGCAGCCAGCAGAGCAGCCACGACGATGACTCTGCCCGGTTCCTGAGCCCCTTCACACGTGAGGACAGGTGAGTCTGTACCTGGGACCACTCCCTGAAACCACACTGCTGAGCTCCTGATTTATTCCCCTTGTATTTATCGGAGTTGTTTAAAAAAATGTGTGCAAATTGCTTTTATCAATGCCTAAAAAGCTGCATTTTTCATCACCTTGGAAGTGAGACAATGCATCCAGCCCCTGAAATAGCCAGAATTTTCTTTTGAGGCTCCTTCCCCAAACTGCATCAGTGTGCAATGAGCACCTCTGATCTTTAAAAACACACAAATGGCATTTCCTGGCTGGATCCTGTCCTCAGCAAAGGTTGTTTCAGTCACTTTTGATGTTTCGTGGCAGTTTAAAACTTCTGTGCAGCACCTGGGTGAGAACTGCTGGGAAGTTCCAGAAGAAACTTTAATTTGGGTTGATTAATGACTTGTTTCAAATTGCAGCATTGGCAGAAAAGCTGTTGAAAACGGATTTTTGTTGTTTATTTTGGTGCATGATTTATGAATGTTGCTTTGCTCAGAGCCACATGATGAGGAGTTTTGCTGCATCTTGTGGCTCAACTTTTGAGCCTGAGCCTGCTGAGTTTTCTTGCACTGGGCATGAACTGTGAGCTCTGAGTTATCACTGATTGATTTTCCTTGCACTTCTCAGAGAGAAATGGGATTTATGTTGGTTTTAGCAATGTTTAAAAAGCTGCATTTTTCATCAGCTTGAAAGTGGGAAAATCATCCAGGCCCTGAAACAGCAGGAATTGATTCACTTGAGAGTGAATCAGGAGCCAGTGAATATCCCATGGGGGTTTTGGCTCAGAATCAGCACTTGGGAATTGCAGCTCACCTTTTCCTCCATGTTTCACTCCAATTATCCATCTCCCCATGGCTGTGGAGCCTGGACTAATTAACAAAACACCTCTAATTGAGTGACAGGTGACTGTTTGCAGCCAGGAAATAAAGAGTGGGACAGCAAAGCAGGGGGGTTCTGAGGGCATCACCTCAGTGGGAGGTGCTGTTATTCCATTTCAGCTGGAATTCCACAGCTAAAACAGGGTTAGGATTTGTTAATGAATTTCTGGGTGAAGCAGCAGGGGATCATTTGGAAGTGCTGCCTGTTTCAGATGGATTTGAAAGGGAGCATTTATGTTGGTGATAACAATATTTTCCTGGCTGGAAGGGGCAGATTTCAGCAGCACAGGCAGATCTCAAAACTATTTATGCAAAGCCAGAGCATTGCTGAGCTACTGACCTCTTATATTTAGGACCAGCAACATTCCTGCTGCCTAAATTGAATTAGAATTAACTTCTCTTTTCATGGATCCTAAAATTATCCATGTGAGGGATAGTAAATTACCTTTTCTATAGTTTTTTTGGTCTCATTTGCTGGTGTAATTCCCTCAGCTTCCATTGGTACAGCCTTCCTTTGGATATTGGTGGTTTGTGCTCATGAAACTTCACCAAAAAACAGCTCAAACACACCTTTTAATGTAAGCTGGACAGGAATTCGTGAGAAGGCTGGCAGAGCCTTTGAGACCTTGCTGTCTGCTATTATAAAGGTGAAGGTGTTTGTGAATCTTTTGCATCTTGAATCTTTTAGACCCCACAGAAACTGAAGGAGGAGGTTTTATTTTTGCTGCTTTTAGGTGATTTTTTTTGGACCAGTAACAAAGAGTCCCCCAAGCACAGATTTGAAGCTCTGAAGAATCCAAGGCAGTTCTGGTAACTTATCCATTGACTATTACACATCAGCTCTTCAAAAATCCCCTAAAAACCCCACAGCCACCCAGGATTTCCTCAGAGCTGTAGGATGTGAGCAGAAAGGAGGGCAGGGAGCTGTGCCATGGAAGGTGCCCCCTTGCCTTGGCACACTGCCCTGGCATCCCAGAGCAGGGCAGGAGCAGAGGGAGCAGGGAACGAGCTGCACCCACCTCAGGACAGCTGGGAAAGTGCTGAAACAAGCTGCCCCAGCCCAAAACAAAGGGCTGCTGAGCTGCTCAGTTCATCCTGAGATGAAAAAAAAAAAAAAAAAAAATGAAGAGCACACAGCTGAGGATGGCTGGAATCCTCCCAGGCTGGATCTTCACCCAGGGCACTGCTGCTGGAGCTCCCTTCTCTGCAAGGGCCGTGCTGCAGCTCCTGCAGCTTTTCCAAGGTTGAACATTTTGCCCTCTCTGGATGTTTTTGGGGCTCTCTGGCACTCCTTTCTCCAGAGCTGTGAGTGCTGCTGAAGGCTGGAGGGTTGGGAAGTGCTGCCATGGTCCAGAAGCCGTGTCCTGGCACAGCACCCTGTGGCACAGTGGCCAGGCAGGTCTGCCACCCCTGTGTCACCTCCCTGAGGAAAAAACTTTCCCTCTGCAAATCCATGTAAGTTCTGCTGTCTCTGCCGTGCCTGGGTTATGCTGAGGGGGAGCCACGCTTCATCTTGGGGTACCAATGTCATTTCTGGGTGTTTTTGGAGGGAAGAATTGAGTGGGATGTGCTGGAAAGAGGTTTTGTGGGAATTTAGGATCGGGTCTTTGCTTGCTGATTGCCTGGGTGAGTCACTTCATGTCGCTATTTATGAAATCAGGAGAATTCCTTTTTTACCTCACAGGAAAACAGAGGTGGTGAATTAAGTCTGAGTTGCTCAGATGCTGAAACACCACTTCTGCCTAAGTACAAATTCAGGCAGAGCTGAGCTAGAGCACAAATAATTGACTTAAAATAATTCCAGGGGTGGGTAAGGCTGGGATGGTGACATAGATTTGAGATATATGTGCACATAAGAGACCCCATAATCACTGAAAGGAGACAAAGTTATGCATGAATTAACTTGAATTTCCACCAATTAACTCCAAATTAATGAGCCTGGCTCTGCTTGATCCAAGGACTTGTTCTTTGTCACCAAGGCTCCCATCAAGTTTAAGGGTGCAAAGTTGTTTTAATTAAAAGTTAAGCTACTGAACCAGAGGAAAAATCAGTCCTTAGGCTCAGCTTAAAGAGGAGACAAACTGTTGAAGAGAGGAGATCATGGAAAGCAAGGCTGGAAATGGAGGACAGGGAAATGAGTGGCAGTTTACAAGAGATAATAAAAAAAAATATTTACACAAAAAAACAAATAAATCAGAATTATTTACATTTACACTGCTGTAAATCCCAATGATTTACATAGAGATCATATCTAATGGAGGAAATGGGGAAGCACAGTTAACTTCAAAATCTCTGTCTTTGATATATCCTGCATCTCATCTTTGTTCCTTAATCTGTGCAGCTCCTAATTCTGCAGTTCCAGGGCTTGCTGTTGCTCGGAGCAATCTAACAAAGATTTCTGAAATAATGGATCAAAATTCACAAGGCAGCTTTCAGGGGAATTGGGGAAAAGCTTGAGACAGAGACAAGTTGAAGAAATTCTGTTGGCTGCTCGAATTTTCCCAGGAAGTTGTGGGAGAGCAGAAAAGAGGTCGAAGTTTGAAAAAGGATAAATTCCATATTTTTGATGTCTTTAAGGCTTGCTTGTGCTGCTTGTTCCTGCCTGAGTCCTTTTCTCTTTGGCTCATAGGAGTCACCCCCAACATTCTGAGCCCCCTTTGCTGCAAAGATCCAGCACAGATCCTTGGTAGGAAAGGTCCTGACCCACTCAGATCCCTGAGGAACTTTTATCCCTCACAGATGGATCATCTGCAGGGGTTTTTAAAACTGTTCTGGACAGGACTTGGAGGCTGCTGAGCTCTCACAGGGTCCCTGATCAGAACCCTGATGCTTTTGCAATAACTTGGAAGTGAATTTGGATTTGGATCTAGATCCAAACTCTGAGTCAGTTTGACTTAATATTAAATAGGAGTTTAAGCAGAATGATACAAATTGGGTGGATTTTTTGTAAGCAAGATGGTTAATATTTAGATTGTGTCCCTTTTTTTGCCCCTCTCACCCCTGGCTGACAAGGGCAGCTCATCTCTGTCCCCCTTGGGTTGCCAGCCTGGCCAGTGGCAGTCAGTGAGTGAAAACACCATGTGCCCTCTGTTCCTCAGATGCCATCACTGTTCATTTTTGGTTTTTTTATTAAAAGTTCTGTCTCTGCTGGACTGGTTTAGCCAAGATGAGATCAGCCCTGCTGTGCTTTGCCTGTCACTGAGTGCAGGGGAGGTGACAGACCTGGCTGGGCTCTGTCACTCTCTCGTGATGCTCACCAACACGAGGAGGAGGAGGTGCACACAGGGCTTTTAATGCCCCTCTTTTCCCTCCTCGGAGCCAATGGGCAGGCTCCTCACCCTCCCTTGCTGTTCCCAAGAGCAGAGTTTGTTGTTACTTCAGGCTGGAAGTAATGGTCACCCCATCAGCCCTGTGTCCTGGGAACGCTGGGATTCTCAGGATGTTATGGTGGAGAAGTGGCAGAGGAGAGGCTGAGATGCTTTCTGGGGTCTGCAGCTTGGTGTGAGCGACCCAAAGGTGTTTCCCTGTGCCCTCTGAGTCTCCAGGTGTAGCTCAGCTGCTTGGCAGTGCCCAGGTTTTGCCCACACCTGAGCCCTGCGGTGCCCATGGCACAGGATGGGTCCCAGGGCTTGTTTCCCAGGCAGCCCTTGCTGTCAGGTGCCAACTGGCTGTGGAGAGCAGGGCTGCTTGTGGAGGGGATTAATTCAGATTTGTTCTGCTCGTTCCTCCATCCGGCCAGTACTGAGCAGAGAGAAGGAGCCCATTCTGAGAAGGGATGTGTGGAGCCCTTTCTGAGAGGGGATGTGTGGCCACTCAGCCTGTTTGGGGCTCTCTGAGATTGTCTGAAAAGGGTCCAATTGTTGGCCTAATCAAAGGCAAGACCAGGAAAGAGAGACAAGGCCATTGTGGGCTCCTGTTGCAGCACTGAAACTTCAGTTCTGCCATAAAATTAACCATCAGTGAGAACTGAACTGGTTCCAGCCTCTCCCAGCCAGAGCTGGGGCTTGCAGAGATGCACTGAAGGGTTTTTTGGGCAGCCTGATGTTAATTCTGTTTGTGTGACCAGGTCTCTGCTTTGGGGCTTGTCTGTAAATCTGGAGGTCAGAGTTGCCCACCTCATCCC